ATAGCATGATGTAAAAAGTTTTTATTTTATTTTTATATATTTAAGAAACAAAAATTCAACCTAATTAAGTGCACACAAATAATTGAAAATAAATATAATTCATAAAAAAAATAAAAAAATAGTGAGTTGTTAGTGGTAACAGTTGGCAATGGAGGGTGACATTCATTAGATGATTAGAATCAAGTCAAGAGTTATCGGAGATTGTCAGATAGTCATCGGAACATGTTGAAGGATGCATAAAGCTTGCCATAGCTCATCGGAGGGTCAGCGACTTATGGCTGGTAGTGGTGGCGGCTGGTGGCCAAAGGTGGTGGAGAGAGAGGAGCAATGAAAATTTATTTTGAAACTAAGTTTTCATTTTTGGTTTAAAAAAGAAAATAAAAAAGAAAGTGTAACCAATAATAATGTTTGTTCTCTCTAAATTATGTTTCAATCGTGCATTTGTAAAGTGGTTTGTGAAAAAAGAATTTAAAAAAAAAAAATTGAAAATCTCAATGACTTGGAATGTTTTATTTTTCTTAAATTTTCATACAAAAAGGGTAGAAAAGTAATTTTAGTGAAATATTAATGTCCGTGCCCTTACTCCAATTAGTATGTGAATGATGCAATTTCTAAATGTTAAAAGTCTCATCTTGAAATCCCATATATCTGCATGTGCATATTGTTGCAAAATGTCAAGGATACATGTCATTTTCCAAATATCAAAAGTTGTATGTCATTACAAATAATAAATAGTATTTGATTAGAAAAAATTAACAGTGATTTGCAATAGGGGTTTGGCCAACAAAAATACCTTCATAAATTCAAATTTGAATTTTATTTACATGCTAAAATATTGTGTCCATTAGGACAACGATCTGTTCAAATTGACATGTGGAAACCTATCTGTTGGCCCATAATCCTCTCTCTCTTCAAAAATTTATTTTTTTGTGCATATGGAAGTCTAAGGATTGTTTTGTTTTGATAATAAAGACAAAATTAATGAAATTGATTGATGAGAAAGATAAATTATTTTTTGAATGAATTATTTTTCTATATTTACCTACTATTATTAGACCATTGTTGGCTAGTCACCAATACCGAAAAACTTGTCAAAAAATTCGTCAAAGTTAGTAGGTGAAGGCTACGGCAATAGTTGAAGTTGGTGGTGATATTGACAGATAGGTGACACGTAAACAAATAGGGCATCATATGTGAACATATAAATGAATAGATAGGTGATGTGTACTAATAGGTACGCCAAAAAAAGAAAGGGAAATGATTTGTAACCCTAAAATCCTCACCCCTAATCCCCCTAATTTCCATTTCTGGCAACTGTTTCCTTTTTTTTTTTTTTTCTTTACTTAATATGGAAATTAGGGGGATTAGGGGATGTTTTTTAGGGGGATGTAGCATGACCCAAAAAGAAAAAGAAAAAAGACAAATAAGTGAACAAGTGGGCAAATATACAATAAGTAGGGGTAATAAATCTTTTAAATTGTTACTATCATTTTCGTCCCAAAAAAATAGAATCTGGGGCTATTATTCCAAAAGTTTCAAAATTAGGCTTTTGGCCCAAAAACATCATCCCTAAGCTAAGTTTGAATGACAAGAATTTAAGGGAAAATGAGAATGCTATTACTAGTAATAAAATTCTTTTGTTAATTATATTCAAGTGTTTGGTTTCGTGTGGAATCCTCAATGGGAAAATAATAAAACTAGAAATATTGCAGATCCATTATTTATTTTACATTTAAATGGTTAACATTTTTCTAGGAGTGCAAGATTTCCCTAGTAGAGTAGGGAAATCAAATTTCTACTTAGTTTGGGAATGTGATTTCTGCGGAAATAAATAATAAGGAATCACTTTCTCATTTTAATATGTTCTAAATGTTGGAATCATGAGACTCGGAATCACATTTCCATTATCCTTCAAGATTACCTTCATTCAAACATAATCTAAATTTACCTCTAATAACGTAGTAGAATGTTGCATGTGAATTGTTGTTTGGTTTACAAATCAACCAAGACTCAACTCCTATCATATCAGTATAAATACATTTATGCTGTGTTTGGTTGAGGAATTTGAAGAGGGATTTGGAAAGGAAAATGGAAAAGGTAGGTGAAATGTGAAAAAAATATACTTACATTTCACATAATTTCACACACCTTTTCCCTTTCCCTTTCCAAATCCCTCCCCAAATCCCCCAACCAAACACAACATTAGGAATACTGCTTTAAGAATATCTATCATTACTAGTCGATTTTTACCCTAAAACATTTTCTACTAATTTTGACCAATAACTATTAATTTAGGGAATTACATGGACTAATTGATACTTACACATTCTTTCTTAAAACTCCAATATAGAAGTGTTGAACAACTATTTAATTTAGGAAAAATTATTAGGTAGTTTCAAAGTATTATGTGAGATTGTTTATGCAACTTTATAGTATAAGTCACGAAGTCTTACTATAAAATTTACCAATACGATAATATTACAAATACTCCGAGAATGGCCAATAATTCAGTGCATCACACGAACTTGCTCTAGTAACATGAATAATTGTTAGTGAGATTCTTCCTAAAGCATAACTTAGAGCATTTCCAACGCCATATTGTTAAAATGGATAGCCAAAATCATTTTTTGGTAATATTATAGTAGCAAAATATCAAAATTTATCAATATTACTCCAATATCCTATCCATATTTTGACACAATCACCATATGATATTGCATGTTCATCGTAGGATTAGATCTTATATATATAATTTTAAATTTTAAAATTAAGAACTTTATAAGGATGTAAAAAAGGATGTTGTCAACTTGTTCTGACCTATGATAATAAGCTCATGAGCTTAGTCATACGTCACCGTTGAGAAATACAAGAAGACTTTCATCTCAAAGTTTAACTCAGACCTAACTCCCTTCTTTTTAGGTGTGGAGCAGTGCCAAACCAAAATATCGGGAGGTGATCCAACCGCACCTTCTAGTACGGCTACCTTGCTATGACTTCACTCCAATCATTGATCTCCCTTGAGGATTGAAAAAAATAAAGTAAACTTCACAAATTTGGTATAATTACACTACTCTCTTAAGGTTTTAATTCATATAACACCTTGACTCCCTTTTCATCAGAAATTAGATTAGTCATATAAATGAAAAAAATGATATTATTTCTTTTATATTGAAATGCACATTTTACCTTGTCTTTGTGTCTTTATACTATCTCCATTAGTTTTAATCTCTTCTACTTTACTAAAAGGGATATTAGTGTAGATATATTAAAATTATGAAACTATTGTATATTTTTCAAATCTCAATAAAAATAAAAATAAATAAATAAAAAAATAGCGTAATTTACCGTTATAAATTTGAAGCAACAAGTCAATTGGTCAAAGTTGTCAAAATTTTGCATTATACTACACTTGTGCATGGATGGAATTATGATTTCATTATTGGAGGGGTCAAAAAATAAATCATCATATACACATACACATATGTATCTACAATATAATATATAAACTACATATACATAAAAAAAAAAAAAATTTAAATACTATAGAAGCAATCTCTAATAGGATAAAAAAGTTTTTTTGGTGCAAAATAGAAAAAGAAGGCAAAATAGAAGAATAATAAGATATATATATATATATATATATATTTTTATATTGGGAGGTCATTTTATGTATAAAATGATATATATATATATATATATATTTAAAGTGCTATTACAAAAAACTTTGTTTGGTTCTGGTTTTCAGAAAATAATTTTCAGAAAATTCTACTTTTTTATTTCCGTATTTTAATGTTTTCAATGAATTTTTTTAATATTTTAAGAATTTTTTTTTAATTTTTAGATACACCGAACATAAATACACTTAAAAAGTATAATATTTGTGATTTTTTTTAAAAATACACTAAATATACCAAAAAAATATTAAAAAATACAAAAATTCAGTACATTTCTCATATTTTTGTGTATTTATTAATTTTTTATAATATTTTTTCACATATAGTTTACTATTTAGATACATTTAAGTAATGTGCATCTAAAAAAGTAAAAAAAGTTGCTTAAAATTTTAAAAATATTCACTAAAAATAAAAAAATACAAAAAAACCAAAAACTCAATTATCAAAAAATTAAATTCAAAAAATTGAAACCAAACACACTAAATATTTTTCGCAGAAACAGAGGAGTCATGGCCCCCATAATCTTCTTCTAATTCCATCTCTATTTGTGCCAAATATGGCATGAAGTATGGTACAAGACAATACCGAGCCAAGAAAAATAAAAATTATATCCATGTGAATATTGTATAAATTTATTTATGGGTAAATTACATTGACACCCCCTGAAATTTATATTTATTACAGTTTTTTCCCTCATATTTGGGAAATTACACTGACCCCTGTTAATTTTATTTTATGTATGATGATCATTACAGTGAGAGGGGAACTGTTATGAAATTTTAAACCTCATGGGGCAATCTGTAATGAAACTTTAAACCTCAAGGAGGGGGATGTAATTTCCAAAAAGTGAGGGAAAAAACTGTAATAAACATAAATCTCAAGGGGTGTCAATGTAATTTACCCTTTATTTATATATTTTTTTATTTTTTTTGTTGTAAGTCTAGCACTTTTTATAGCACAACACCGGATTTTGACAAATCAATGGAGTGGCCTTTTTCTTTTTTTTTTTTCAAATAAATTAAAAATACACTTTTTTGAGATTTACTTAAAATACGTTATCTGGTTATAGAAATTAAAAATATTTTTTTGTTAAAATTTTTTATTTAACAGAATTAATAAAAAAAAAAATCTTAACTATTCTTATACACCAATAAAATTAATTGAATTGTTAATTAAAATATATTTATGACATTATTAAAAATTGTTAATTGACTTAATAATTTATTAATAAAAGTAGTCATTTGTTATCAAATAGAAACTTTTCTTGAATGGGATGTAATTTTCAAAATTACAAGTAGAGGTGATAAACAAATCAAACAGTTTGAATTCGACTTGTGTTCGGCTCATTAAAAACTCGTTCAAACTTAATTCTTTAGGTAAACAAGGTTAAACACATTTTTGAACTTGTTAAAATTTTCAAATGAAACTTGAATAATCAATTACTTATTCAACTCTTTAAATCTATAAAAAAAATACCAAACTATTCAAGTTCGGCTCGACAAAAACTTGTTTGAGATCGGCTCAAAAGTTTAATAAACTAAGCTTTCATTACAATTTTCAAACTAAACTTAAATGGTTAACCGTTCGGCTCATTCAATTTGTTTATCAGTTCTAACTATAAGAGACAATTTATATTTTAAACAAATATAATTGTAATTTACTCTTTTTTTGGTGGGCTCAATTGTCAAAATTTGACTTTGGCATTGGATTTTGGTAATCCCATTGGAGTTGCTCTTGGTTGTTTCAACCAACCGATGGCTATGGTCCCATTCAGCCCAAATACACAAGGATGATAACAACAAACACTCCTGGTTAGTAGTTGTGTGATTATGATTCTAAGTACCTGTGTGTGTATATTATTGTCAGTATCGATTACTCTTAGCTCTTACTGTAATGCTTGCAATGTGCTCGATCAAATGCCTGCTCAGATGTTTTCGATACAGTTATTTTAAATGTTCATTTTCAACTTCTACCACTTTTGCATTGATGTTTCTTGTGCATTTTGAATCTGGGTTAAATGATCTTAAATGTTCATCTATTTTTTAAAGTTCTATCACTTTTGCATTGGTGTTTCTTGTGTGTTTTGAATCTGGGTTTTCATTTCCTGCCTTTATTTTACATTTGATCTGTTTGGTGTATTAGTAATTGCTCCAATTCTTACTCTTTTTTTTTTTCTTCTTTTTTTGGTGTGAAATGTTTTGTTAAAAAGCTTGATCAGGTTTGAAATACTCTAATCCTTATTTTCTTTGTTTTTTCATCAAATCCTTTTGAAAATTCCTACATTTATGCTAAAAATCTGTTTTGACCATTTTTGATGAAAGAAAACCATCTCTAATTCTTACTTTCTAAAATTCATCAAATTTGAGTAAAAATTTAACTGTTGAAAATTCAGTGAAGAATTGGTTAATCCTTGATTTGGTGAATATTTTGCCTCTCCCCTAATTTGATACAAGTTTGATGAAATGATTGGAACTGACTTTTAGCTCTTTATTCATCAAATTTGAATTGGATGAAAGAATTGGTGAAAGATTGGAGATGCTAAGAAGAGAGAATTTGATGATGGGCCAGGCAATCCAACTACAATTGTTCACTGTGTTCTTTAATTCTGGTGATTGTGATTTAATGGTTCTGTTGATTTATTGTTAACTTTTGTTTGTTTCTGTTTTCGAAAACAGAGGCCAAGTGCTTGTCTGGACCACCATAGACAATTAGACATGAAAATTGTGGTTGTCTCAAGCCAAGGTTTTAAATATGTAATTTTTTCATTTAGTCTACTGAAAGTTTCTATACAAATGTAATATTAACAGAAAGTTTTACAAAGTTAAGTTCTCATTTTTGTTAAGCAGATTATTATGGAAAAAAAAAAAAAAAAACATTTGTGCGTCTGAGTTTCCAATTGCCACCTGGGTAGGCAGACAAAAGACCAGCATAATTTTGGACTTTAAATAAGATATTTCAAATTTGGGTTAATGCACTGTTAGTCCTCAAAGTATGCACTCTGTCATTTGAGTCTCCAATATTTAAATTGTGTCAATTTTGGTTCCCAACTTATCCAGTTTGTGTTTAAATTGTCGCTAAATACCATTTTTGTCCAAATTTTATAACAGAAGCGGGGGATTTTGTCCAAATTTAGACAATTTGGACGAAACTTTGGATGGAAACAGCATTGGGGTATTTTAAACGTAAATTGGATCAGTTAAGGATCAAATTGATACAACCAAATTGAAACACACTGAATATTTTGATAACCGAAAGTGTGTTTAACCCTAAAAAATTCTTTCACTACGTCATCTATTCACAAATAGAAAATATAAGTAAAACACCATAACATCAATATTAACAGTTAGGAATATCCAATAGGAAACCTTACATTAACATTTAATGCAAGGAAACAGAGCTTTTTACATTAGTGTACAAATGATTTTAGAAAAAGAAGGGAAAACAATAAATAAGACCGATGAAAGTCAGATGGCCGGAAAGGATAGCATTTTGCCAATCACTTTTCCGTTTACGCCCTAAAGTACATATATTTATACATGCATTTCTATTAGTTTTGGTCCTTAATGTACATACAATTAACTCCGTGGTACTAGTAAATACAAGCAGTTCTCTAACTCCAATTAATCGTTCTTCAGAACTGGCAAGAGGTTCCTAACCTCTGCTTCACCAAACCCATGCTCTTTCTGCCCTCAAAAACCCCAGGTAAAAGCTTCTCAAAATTCTCCAAGAACAATTCCCATTCCTCTTCATTTATTTCCTCAAAAGAGATGCCACCATTTTCATGGTTGTAATTTGATGCCGAGCAGCTCTTGCTCCTAATCAAGCCTGTCCACACCTTGTACTCATTGCTGCCACCACTGTCATTGTCATCATTGTTGTGGACTCCGCAGACCTCTTCATCTTGTGAAGGAAGCAATCCACTCATTGATCTCGTGATTCTTGGTGGCCTGCCTATGACTGTAGGAGGGGTTTGTAAGAGTTTACAAGGAAGGTCCAAAGCCTGACTTGAGTTATCTTCCCATTCATTGTCAAGCTGAAATATTTCAGTATCTATTACTTCACTTTGATAATCATCAATTTCATTGGTGCTATCACTATTCAATATACTACTGCAGGTACTCGCCATACCCTTTGCATTCAAACAAAGATTCTCTAGCACGCTCAAATTTTCTTCGCCTCCATGAAAATCCCGAGTCATCATTTCACCTATATCGTCAAGACAAAGCCCAGCACTAACAGCTTGCTTCAAGAAAATGGTGCAAAGGACTAGAACCCGAATAGAGGACTCCCTTATAGAAGGAAGTTCTTTCCTAAGAAGTTGTGCATCTTTGAATGGATCTAGATTGAGTATGTATTCAACTTCAGAATCCGAAAAGGGAACCGAGGCTTGAGGCCAGTGCAACCACTCAAAATATGGATCATCAAGCGACTCAGGCAAGCAAAGTCCATGGTCTATGGGCACGAGCTCGGCTGCACCGTCAGCATAACTACTCCCATGCCCATGGCCTTGCTTTACAAGCATGTTTCCAGCATGCCTATCAAGATTAAGGATTCTTATGTCGAGTATCCCAATACAATGGATCGAAGAGACTGAGAAGCCAGAAGGGCCCAGGTCTCCTGCATCAGAATCATGATCTACGAATCGTTGAAGCGAGGCAATCTTACAAGATGGTGGTGATTGATCCAAAATATTTGCTAATTCTTCTTCTGAACTGTTACTATTATTTACATTTACATGGAAAGAAGCAACATGAGAAATCTTGACTAGTGCTGTTGGAGGAACCCCGGCAAAGCCACCATGATCAAGAAGATAAGCAGCCAATTCACGCAGGCCCGTTTCACCTATCCGGATAGAAGACCGTTTCATGCCAGGTTGTTGGCCAAGCATTCGACCAGCTGCATAACCTTTCGGGTTATTAATGGCCAGAGGTTCTTCATCGGTGGGCTTTATCACAGCAATGGTGTCATTATTTCGACCACGTAAAAAGTAGGCCCCACTTAGCCCACTTGATACCGGCACAGGAACAGCACCAGAGGCCATAGCTATGGCAACCTCAACTACAAGAGCACGTGTTCTCGGGTCACTATGGCCACTAACAATCTCAATCCTTGGATTATTACTATTATTAGCATTGGGATTAGCATTGAGTTCTTCTTTTTCCTCCAGTCTGGTGGTGAAGGGTAGGCAGGGGGTTGAGAAGCTTCGATGAATGTTGTTGGCAACTTCAAAGGCTTGTTTTAAGGAGGAGGAGTAATGGCAGGGGAAATTAGTTTGGCTGATCAATTCGGGCATGGTGTAATCCAGATGAGAGTAGGATTGGAGTCTGCATCTTGGGGGTCGGCCGAACGACTTGAATTCATGGTGTTGATGATCCACAGCTACAGCCATCTTGAAGAATCTCATGCAATGCAATTGAGAATATGTATATTTGTAGATATACGTGGCTGTAGTTCATGAGTACGGCGGGAATTAAGCAGCTTTTCTTCTTAGGATTAGGGGATCTCTATCTAGGGTAGTGTTAAAATTCTTCTTCCCTGGGAGATAACCCCTCACATGTCTGCAAATTCAAAATAAACAATCAATTTTATTCATTACCAGTTCACAACAAGAAGAATGTGTAATTAAAGTGGGAAGTGGATTTAACATGTGTATATATAGTTCTTGAAGAGTCAAATGTTGATATGGACTACAAGATCATTCATCCTTCTGTTTTATTTTATTTTATTTTGGTGCAACTCATTTTGTTGTCCATGTGATGTTTGGAGGTGGTGGTGTTGGTGGCTGGAAGGTGGCACGATAGAGAGTATGGTGGCAGCGGCAGATGCAATGTCAATCTAGGGTTGTCCAGTTGAAGGTTGCTGTGGCTAGAGGAGGTGGCAGTGGGAATGGCCAGAGGTGATGATGGTTGGAGATGTTAATCAACAAGTTAGGGTGGGCTGGTGGTCAAGTGTGTTGCACACAACTGAAATACAAATTGCTTTGCAAAATCAAGATTTCATTGAGTGTAGCTAGGGGTGCTGTGGAGGTGGGGCTGCAATGGGTGGTGGCAAAGGAGTGGGAAGAGAATGGGTGGCGGCGCAGAGGAGAGGTGGTAGATGCCAATGGTGGTGACATCATTGGTCTCTCTTTGTCTCTTGAGAGGGTGGTGGTGGAAATGGGAGTATGAGCAAGGAAATGGGTTGAGCTAGCATTTTGAGTGGCTTGTTTGGAGAGGATGAATTTGAAGCTATTTTTATCAAAATTTTCCTTCCATTAACAGAATTAACATATGTTCTATTTGAAGGGAAATCAATGCAATTATCTCCCATCGATTGAAAAATTAATCAGTGTGTTTGGTTTGAATTTTTTGGATTAAGTTTTTTGAAAATTGAGTTTTTTGGTTTTTGTGTTTTTTTTATTTTTAGTTAATATTTTTAAAATTTTAGACATTTTTTTTACTTTTTTAGATGCACTTTACTTAGATGTACCTAAAAAGTAAAAAATTTGTGAAAAAATATTTTAAAAAATTAATAAATACATAAATATACAAAATATGTACGAAATTCTCGTATTTTTTTTTGTATTTTTGGTATTTAGTGAATTTTTAAAAGGTTTCTTTCACAAATTTTTTACTTTTTAGGTATATTTATGTTAGGTATGTCTAAAAAGTAAAAAAAAAAAAATTGCTTAAAATATTAAAAAAATTCAGTAAAAACAGAAAAATATGAAAAACAAGAAAGTAGAATTTTCTGAAAAGAGTTTTTAAAAAACTCCAGCCAAGCATGCTGAATGTTTTTACCAACCGCTGTGATACAAACCTCTAGCACCCCACACATTTGTGAGAGACAAGGAGGAGAGAGAGGGGGAAAAAAAAAAAAACATAATGTGTGGTCACAAATCAATTGAGAGTTGTGAGAGTAAAAAATTGTGAGGGTCCCAAGTATTTTTCTTTTGCCAATTGACACATAAATTCATGTAATTTATTTGTTCAAACTAATAATATATACGTGAGGTACAAATATCAATCAATACAAACCTTCTTACTCGTGATCGAAAGTTTCATCTATCAACCCCTTAATCCAATTTGCTATACAAACCAATTTACACTCATTTTTGAATCGTTCATGCCCTGTACAGATCTGCAGAAAATTTAATATATGAATTTTACAAAAGATCATGGTAAAATATAATTTAATTTTCACTATTTCTTAATTCTTATCAAAGAACCAATTATCATAAATAAATAGACATCATATAAACCAGTGAGTGACAACAAAATAATATATAATAATTCTTGTTAATTGACCTTTTAGTCCCTCGCTCCTCCGCTTAGAGATCGCCACAATGTACTGAAAGATACGCACAAATCTGAGTTTAAGGTAAAGTTAAGAACAAGTTATAATTTTGTAAAAAATATATATATCCATTTCAGTGGATGTTGGATAAACATTTGTATATTAATGATAAACTTTGCTACATTAAAATCAAACTTATAAAGTTTTTCATGGAATTGATATTTATTCTTCAAACTAATACTGATTTGTTATTTCTCCTTATAAAAATATAAAAACAGGTGTGCTTATTTAAAATTGATACAAGATTCATTTTGTATATAGTCCACAAAATACAAACTTTAAACATTCTATATTTCACGTTTATTATAAAATATTGATTAAATTTTCATAATACCTAGAATTATTGTTAAAAATTTGCATTTTTTTGATAAAAAAATAAATTTAAAATAATTTGGTAATAACGAACTTTTTAGCAAACACTAAAAAGTTGTATGTAAAATTTTGAAAACTATTTTCACATAAAATTAGATACGACATGAAAGAAGTGGGTATTTCTTACCTTTTCGTTATTTTGTTTCCTGAAACATTAAAAATAAAAAATAAAAAATAAAGGCATGGCTTACAATAATATTTCTTGCAAGACTTTTTTTGCAACAATCATACTACATGCTCAAAAAAAAATATTTAAAAAAGTACTCAAAACTTTAAAATATACATATCAAAGTCAACAAAAATGTGACTTATATCATACATTTAAATTATAAATACTTTCTTAAGAATAATGCTTGGGATCCCTTTTTGGGGATCACCCCCTCACCCCCTTTTGCCACGTGGCAGGTGGTGATTGGAGGAGCAGGAAAAAAAAGAAAAAAAAAGAAGAAAATGTAACCAATGAGAGAGAGAGAGGGTCAAAGGGGGTTGGAGGAAAAGGGGAGATGAATCATTGTTGCTTTCTTAAATATTTTTTTTCCTTAGTATCTAAAATTTCTATTTCCACAATCTTAAACTCTTGTGCAAATGTAGAAACCCAAGAATCATGCACGCACGTATATGCATGATTCCTACTTGTGGGACATACTAGAAATCCTGGTTATGAATTTGTAAAATCTAACAATCACTAGTTAAACGAGTATGATAAGATTAATAACTGTTCACAGCAGTTACCAATGTGATCCTACTTTGTTTCACTAATGCTTCAGGCCTCGAGAGTTTCAGAAGTGAATAGCGTGAATTTGTAGTCACCGGTCAACCGGCCGAACAACCGGGTGAACTACTTATCTACCACGATTGTCACCTTGTCGACCGCAGCTGTTAGCCTCTTTGCCGGATGACCGACTAGACGACCGGTTAAACAAATTCGAGGCAAATTCATGCCTCAACATTCGAGGCCTGTAACATGATTCACTTTATTTATACCAATTCAAGGGTTGATTTCATATATATACATATATTAAAGAATAGATTGATATATACGTATATGTATGTATAATAAAGAGAGAGATAGAGAGAGACCCTGAACACTGGTGAGGCATTCAGGAGAGCGTGAGAGAGAGAGAGAGGGAGGATGAATCAGTCACCGAGAAGTTGCTGAAAGACAAGCCTTCTCCCCTCCCCCCTTAATTTTTCTTGATAATAAACCAAAATAATAATAATAGTAATAACCCCTTAAAGCAAACCTCTGGTTGAGCTCACCACCTCTCTATCCTTTTTATTTTACGATGAAATCTCTCCTTCACATATTTTCTTCCCTATTTTTTGGGATTTTTGAAACTGTTTGTCTCGAGCAAAATCTTCGCTAACCGTTTTTCTATTTACGGATAGTTATCCCACGCTTTCTATTTATGGATAGTCCTATTTTTTTGGTCTCAAAAAAACAGAAAACAAAAATGTTGCCAAACAACCCTTCAAATGATCTCACCCTTGAAGTTATTCAATTCTATCTAAATCAGTATGTGAATAACTATGAGAAAGAAAAATTACTTGAAAAAGTGACAAGGATTTAATTGAAGAATAACAGTATTATTAATTACAAAAAAAAAAAAACCGGAAATATCTTAAATAAATAATGTGAGACAAGATTTAGGATAACTAATGTTTACGATTTCAATATGACCTATGAAGCACGGGTACGGGTATGAGTACTGATATTGGTATGATATGGATATGCCGATACGGTAAAATTAAAAAAAAATAGGGTACGAGTACAGCTTGATATGCTTGTAAAAAAATATTTATTTTTAATTTAGAGTAATGCAAAAATTAATTAAATGGTTTAATTTGTTAAGGTCTAACCTATAATTAACATTTAATGTCAAAAGTAAAAGTATAAATCAAAACTGCATGTCAATATATTAAATAACTTACAAATTATAGTTTAATTTTAAAATCATACTAAGCATAAAATAAAAAATAAAGAAGAAGTCTAGTGAAATGAGTTTTATTTGTGTAGTAGAAAGAAAAAACTTAAGAAGAAAAAACTTAGATACGTGTTTCGTGTACCCGGTACGTATGCAGAAATACCATACGAGGTACGGTACGCCGGTAAGTACCCGATACGGATACGGCATGTTTTTTGAAATACCCATGCTTCGTAGTATATGACAAAACCTGAGTCTTGGGGACGTGTCGTAATAGAGCTTGGTAGACTTAGATAAGGGTGTTGAGAGTATTCAAGTTGAAGAATCATATCAACAGTTGTAGACATCGCCATGTTACCTTCACAAATATATTTGCATTTCATGTAAAAATATTTTCTTATGACTCTAGTGTTTTCAAAATGCATTTCAAAATACACCAATTTTGATGTTTTTATATTGCAGTGGTGTTACGGTGATTTTCTAGCAAAATTAGTGAGTCTGCACATATCTAGAGTCAAGGAATTGATAAGTTATCGATTTATTACAAATGATTGATAAGGAATTGATAAGTCATCTATCCCTCACAAGAAACAAGCAATTGATAATAGATCAATAGTCAACATAATGCCAAAACAATGATTCTTCACTCCAAAGTGTAGATATCGCTTAGGGGCTAATTGTCCTGCAAAAAAAAGCCTAATTTTACCTATCTTAGTTTTCTAATCCCCTAGCTGATATAAAGGACCCTTTTAAGGATTTTTTATTTTTTATTTTATTTTTTTTGTTTTTGAGGAAAGACAAAATATCATTGTTAGAATTTCTCCATACCATCCACCTCCACTATCACACACTCCACTACCATACACCTCCACTATCACACACTCCACTACCATCTTCTCCCACTATCACACACTCCACTACCATACACCTCCACTATCACACACTCCACTACCATACACCTCCACTATCACACACTCCACTACCATACACCTCCACTATCACACACTCCACTACCATACACCTCCACTATCACACACTCCACTACCATATGATAAAAGCTTCTAACCTAAACTATTCCAACCTAAACAATTCACTCTATTCCAACCTAAACAATTCATTTTTTCCTTTTTTTTCCCGATGTGAAATTATTAAATAAAAGTAATTATTTAAAATTAAGAAAATCAAGAAAATTAGAATGAGGGTTTGGAGTTCTTGGAAGGTTTCTCACTAAAAAGTCTATTTTCCTTAGCCATATAGATATGGTAAAATGGGCGGGTATCTATCTCTGACCCATCTCCAATGGAGATTTAAAGAACACCATTTACCCAACCCGACGGACAAAAAACAAGAGAAAATCCATGTATTTGGGTTGGATTTCCGTGGGTACTCACAGGTTAGGTTATCCATTGCCATCTCTAAATGGAGTAACTGCTGAGCTATGACGCACAGGTACGGGTACGAGTATTGATACTGATACGATACTGGTACGTCGATATAATAAAATTCAAAAACATAAGGTACGTGTACGTCTTGATATGCTTGTAAAAAAATATTTATTTTTAATTTAGAGTAATGCAAAAATTAATTAAATGGTTTAATTTGTTAAGGTCTAACCTATAATTAACATTTAATGTCAAAAGTAAAAGTATAAATCAAAACTGCATGTCAATATATTAAATAACTTACAAATTATAGTTTAATTTTAAAATCATACTGCATAAAATAAAAAATAAAGAAGAAGTCTAGTGAAATGAGTTTTATTTGTGTAGTAGAAGGAAAATATTGTTTCAACTGAGGTACGTTACGGCTTGGATATCTACTAGGTACGTCTGGATACGCCGAAAATTAAGAAGAAAAAACTTGGATACGTGTTTCGTGTACCCGGTACGTATGCAGAAGTACCATACGAGGTACGGTACGCCGGTAAGTACCCGATACGGATATGGCATGTTTTTCAAAGTACCCATGCTTCATAGTATATGATAAAACCTGAGTCTTGGAGACGTGTCGTAATAGAGCTTGGTAGACTAGATAAGGGTGTTGAGAGTATTCAAGTTGAAGAATCATATCAACAGTTGTAGACATCGCCATGTTACCTTCACAAATATATTTGCATTTCATGTAAAAATATTTTCTTATGACTCTAGTGTTTTCAAAATGCATTTCAAAATACACCAATTTTGATGTTTTTATATTGCAGTGGTGTTACGGTGATTTTCTAGCAAAATTAGTGAGTCTGCACATATCTAGAGTCAAGGAATTGATAAGTTATCGATTTATTACAAATGATTGATAAGGAATTGATAAGTCATCAATCCCTCACAAGAAACAAGCAATTGATAATAGATCAATAGTCAACATAATGCCAAAACGATGATTCTTCACTCCAAAGTGTAGATATTGCATAGGGGTCAATCATCCTGGCAAAAATAAGCCTAATTTAACTTATCTTAGTTTTCTAATCCCCTAGCTGATATAAAGGACCCTTCTAAGGAAATTTTTTATTTTATTTTATTTTTTTGTTTTTGAGGAAAGACAAAATATCATAGCACATAATAGTCTTTAGCTCCGTTGAGAGGCAATTTTAGCAGCGACATGTGCTACTTCAACTACCTTCCTTGGAGCCTTAGATACACTAGACACATACTCAAACTGATTACACAGAGACCTAATATCTAACAACACATGCATAAGCTCCCAATTTGTCATTTTGAGTAACTATAAAAGTTCATCAAAGAGTTTTGAGTTTGTTTCAACTTTTGCATATTTAGGCAAACTTCTCTTGAGTTTTAAATGAAAATCATTCACTTTTTGCATTGCATGTACTACACTTCATCATTATGACATCCCGTCCTTGTCTGGATAAATACAACTATTATTGGAGTACGGAGATTGAAATTTGAAACAATGAGTTTTGTAATGATAAGAAAAAGTACATTTACAATAATAAAATTTAAATTCAGACATCACGTCTAATAAGAGAGTGTCTTATCTACTAAGTCAATCCTTAGTTTTCATCTTTTTAACCTTGCTCACTTATAAAACTGATGCATCAAAGAAGTGGGATTATCCTCTGATGCTGTATAAACTAACCATCATTGTTCCATTGAATTACTATTTCTTCATCTCATTGCATTCCATTTTGATCCCATTGTATTGGATCATTGTCAACCTACACTCACTAGTATATATATAATCACCATAACATGTAAAATTCTTCAAAATTTATTATATTTTATATAATGGCCGTCCCAAATTAAATTTGCATCTAAATTTTTTTGGAAAAGCCTGATCTAGATAAGGGTTGCCTTTCAAAAATTTTAATGCCTCGTATAATATCCCACAAAAAATTAATTTGATCTCATGTGAGTAAGCTAACGGTAACCCAATATTAAAAATTTATTTCAATAAACAAGAAATATAGTCTACTTTTTAGTTTTAGTAATTAAAAATAAATATAATCTACTTAATGTGAAATCATATTATTAAATAATATATATATATATATATTCTTTTTTTCCAAAAAGCAGTTAAATTTATTAGAAAAAAATTGTGATTTCTTATGTGGATTACTATAACATTAACTAATAGTAAAGTAATTATATAAGTTTATGAGAAGTGAATAATATGTCCAAATTGAGATTAGTCTCCTATAATTTTTTTATTAGGGTAATTGGCTTATAAGTAATATTTTAATAATTATTTAATCAATTTTATTACATAAAGCATATATGTAAATTGGTGTGAACACTGTCACATTTTTTTACTTTCACATCTTGTAACTATTAGATTAATTATTCTCCTTTGTCAAATAGCCCAAACCACCAAGAGGTATTTTCAAACTGGGAGCCTCTAAATATATTTCAAAAATTAATAATAAATAAATAAATTCGTTAGACACTCATTTCTTTGTAAACATCATTTTCAAATTTAAATTTTGTTGATTTTTTTTAACATTCCAATCGATTCCCACCTTACTTACACCCACCTATCCCCCAAGTGCCACCTTCGCCACACCCTCCCTATTATAGTCACCTCTACCCTTTCTTTTCCATTGCAAAGTATTTTGAAAAGTTAATAAAAAAATTAACTTTTAACTTTTTTTTTTGACTTTCTGACTTTTTTTACTAAAAAAGCTAACTTTTTGTGACTTTTTTAGAATGTTCCCAAAACACCCCTGCCTACCGCCCTCGCTCCTTCCCTCTCTGTCCCTCCCTAATATTCTCCAACCATTCTCATTCTCTCCTTAAATCTTGTTGCCCTCCATTTCTCTCTTTCTCAAACCCTAACCCCACCACCCACCATCACTAAAGAGAGAGAGACAAGGGAAGAGAGAGAGAGTCATGTAGATCTAGGATTTCGTGGAAGGAGGAAGCATATTTGACTGTTTACAGTAGGTAACAAATTATATATATACATAGTTCGGGTCAATTTTAAATCGCATCTGTTATTATAAAATCATAGACCAAATTGTAAAATACAGTTCGCCTATTTTAAGAATCAAGCCTGATCCATGCATTGAGAAAACCAAACAAACCATTCGATTTGATTTGAATTGGACCAATTTGAAATTTTTTCAATTTCATGCTTAGCCCTTCTAAAAGCTATCTAAACTCTCCAGCTTTGACTCCAAACCATCATTGTCAGTACCACCATGGCTTATGTAACCTCTGGCAAGCAAAAAATAGATAGCTTAATTAGGCTATGCTAAAATTTCAAACCAAAGAGTACAACAAAGCAACATTGTTCATGCTTTATTTAGATTACAAATATATGTGCTTGTTTCTAGGAGGAAAAAAAGAAAAGAAAAGAAAAGAAAAATAGAGATTGGAGCAAGAACTGGCGTCTTTTTACAAACCAGAATACTGAAGCCGTAACGCTTTCTTAAATTTCAATAATCCGGTTCTATAATAGATGTAAAACAAAAAACAAAACAATAATCAACTTACAACACTGCTACTGTTTCCTGTTTCGGAATGCCAATTAGGTGGGTCACTGATGAGATCTTCTCCTGGCCAGTGGTAACCTGCTGCTTTATTGAAGCTACACCTGCTTGGATTTCAACTTCTTCCGAGGGAGGATATGATCTACCGCTCCCACGGATCAGGTCTTTGATGGTTGATTTAAGCTCTTTATCCTTCAGCAACGACTCCATTGTCACATGTACACCTGATTACAAAAGACAGCACAAAAGATGATAAAATTAGAACCGATCCATATTCCAGTTGACATCTCATATGTCAAGAAGAACGAGCACCTCATGTTCCAGTGATGCAAAGTCATGCAAGGCCTACTACCGACATAAAAGAAAAATTGTACTTACGGTATCTCCAATAGTGCTTTGGATTTGTAGGATCGTTGATTGTCTCCTCTGCTGCAGGGCGTGTCGTGTATTCTTCTTTCAACGCTAATAAGTCCTGATTATTACAAGTATCAATGGTTGTCAGAAATCAATTGGCGGATATTTAAAATATACATATCAAACAGCATAGTCATAATGATACATAGAAATGACTAGAGTGACAATTTCACTTGATTCAATAATATAGCGGAGAGACATAGAGAGGGGTAGAGAAAGAAATGGGAGAGAGGGTGGAGAAATAATATAAAATTTATAAGATAAGATTTGTAACATAATTAAACATATAAAGTGACAAATTGAATGTATTTTGTTGAAAAGAAAAGGTCAAAAAAAGAGGCGGCTTAAAAATTTAGGGGCATACTTGAACTACAAAGGAACAAATTGAAAAGAATTTTTTTTATCAGAGGTAAAAGTGTAATTTTCAAAACGTTGTCCTCACTTGGCTCCGCTCTTGATGGCTAACTTTTTTGCCCATACTCAGAGTCATTCTGAACCTTGATAGAATCACCGGTCAATGTTTGAGCAACTTGTTATTGTTAGAATAACATCAAGTACATTATTGCCTCAATTACAATACCTGGAGAGGGAATATTGCCCACATTGATGGAGATTCAACATGCTGCCGTTGGATGAAATATGCAATTTCAGGAACACACTGACTAGGTGGCAAGCTGTCGGACCCAATCACATTTTTGAAAAATCGACATCTTCTCTCTTCATCCTCTTCCCACCATGCTCGTAGGGTGGAGCAATCATGGCACGATGGAGCACATACCTAAAATGGATTCAGGCAGTCTACTAATTTAAAGCTATGCTTTGGTCATAATTAAAAAAGTATCTTGAAAATTCAGTGACAGGAATTTACAATATATTAGTGACGGAAATGGATTCACTATCAAAAACCATAATTTTTCACCCATAAGAAAAGGAAAACAAGATAATCAGGAATTGGACAAGATTTGATTCAAACAGCAATAGCCACGATAAAGCATGTGAATCAATTCAGACTAATCAGTGGAAGGTAACAAATTCCGCAGTAGGTGTAAAACGAGTATTCAACCTCAATGAAGCAGAAGAAGCACATTTTGCGGATATATACAATTTAACAAAGACATTCAATCACATGCAATACAAATCAATTCTTTGTTGAGATAGCAACCTAAAGGCTTGAGAAATTCATATAAATTCTATCAGTTTCAACGTAAGTTCAGTTTCAAGACCATGGTGAAGCAGGGAACACAGTGTCTGTCAACTACAAACACCAACCAGGGAAAATAAAAAATAAAATAATACAGTCAAAAAAGCACAGATATGACACAGTAAAGACATACCAATACAGCAATTTCTAACATGTCATAGGACACAAACAAGGCAAAGACATGAAAGTAAACAAAATCTATCATTTGTCTGTCTGTCTAGTGTCTACCTATATATAAATACCAAAATAATAACAAATTAGTTTTTTTTTTTTTTTTTTACATAGCACATAAATAAAATTTATTATATGAAAACAACAAATAGCCGTTTTCTATTTTATATGTTAGAAAAGTAGGAACAGCAAAAGTTACAAACAAATCAGAAGTTGTAAAGATTTAGAATTTAAATAATGAAAACTTAAAAGGCATAAATATGTATACATCCATATTTTTTAATTGTTGGGCAACCATTTTATTCTCTATGAACTTGTGCCAAGACCCTGGATGTGTCTCACGTGTCTGGCAATAGACACGTCCCACGAGTGTAAAAAGTGTAAAAAATAATGACCAATTAGTACACATTAACGAGTGTAAAAAGTGTCCAATTTTAAAATATTAAAAAAAAAAAAAAACTACAACCAATTTGGGTGCAATTTTTACGTGTCAGTGCGTGCTCAAAGAGTGTTGGACCTCCATTTTATTTTCTACCAACTTGTGCCAAGACCCTGGATGTGTGTCACATGTCTGCCAATAGACACATGTCCCACCAGTGTGAAATGTGTCTGATTTTAAAATATTAAAAAACAATAGGACCAATTTGGGTTTTTTTTTGGGCGAAAAAAAATTGTTTTTTTTTTTTTTTTTTTTTGGGTGTCAGTGTGTGCTCAAAGAGTGTTGATGGCCAAAATGTGTCAAACACAAATACAACACCCTAGTAAGTTATATTTCATGTACCGCATGTGTAGTCGTAATTTTATACATACAAACACTTAAATGCTTCTATATATATATATATAAAACTATGCTTAAACATCATCTCTGCAAACAATTCTATAAATTTTCGGTTGGCAACACTCGAGGCTTTTTCTTCACTTAATGGTGTATATTACTCCGTTTAGACGATGAGAAAGAAGCTAACTGAAAGAAAGCTCAGAAAGCTTAGCTCAAGAAAAAGCGAGGGTCCAAATGTAGACTTCCAAAACAAAGGGGACCAAAGAGAGAGGAAGAAAAGGTCTTAGCCAAAGAAGTAGAATATGATGATTCCGAAAGTGACTATGGGAGCGGATTTGTATGCCCAAGCCAAAAATCAGTCATAAAATCATTGTTACATGGCTTAATGGGAATAACTAAACAGTGCTCAATATCCCTGTCACAAAAAAAGAATTCTCTAGTCCTCCCCTAAAGACACTCGGGGGTCATCTTCAAGTATCAAGGAACACCTACAGTTTCATCTAATATCTTTTTTCCATCTCTCAAGGATTTTTAAAAAAAAAAGAGTTCCCTTCGTGAAACTAATATGGTGTGCTTGGACAAGAGACTTGGAATTCTTCTATAGTCTTACATGTAGCACTACAACTAAATCCAATTTGTTTTGTAGCATTTCAAAAATGACTATAATCATTGCATAATTTCAATGTCCACAATCATTTGTTGTGTTGACTCCTTATCTAATTTTGCGCTATAGTGATAGATTTGTGCTGTCAAAAGCCACGAAGACTAAAATGGACATATTCCATTTTCTTTGTTTTATTTTTTGTCTTCAGGAAAAGATAGGTAAGACTCCATATCCATGTAACATCTAATACGACCACAATAACGTAGGTAAAAGAGATACTAGACAGTGAATGACCTTACCGTCATGTAGGGGTATTGAGAAGGAATCCCAAACTCTAAATCAGGTTCACTTGGCATACGTTGAATGCGTAACCCTATTAATCCCAGTTCTTGCATAACCTGTATCAACATGCTGTAACATATCACAACTCATGTGGAAGATATGCTTGACTCGGCAATAAAAAGATACAGTAAAAGAAAAAAAATAAAATGTAAAATAAAGAAAAAAGAGGATGAAAAATAAATATAAAGTGAATTTGCATACGGGATGAACACAGGAAGGAATTAGTCCCAGATCTTCCCCACAAGCCAGCATATCTGATGAGTTCAAGAGGACAGGCAGGGTCTTCAGAGCATTTTGACGCCAAAGACTTTCTTGCCGTTGGAAATAGTAGTCATAGTAAAATCTTTTTAGGACATTTTTGCTGTATTATACAACAGAACATTAGTGATGCCACAGTGGTAGTATATCAATAGCAAACAAGTTAAGAGTAATTGCTACAATGACCATCTATTCCTACCATTTTATCTTACCATCTAATGTGTCAAGTTTACTTGTCAGTATTGCATTGGAGATATACAGTAGTGGTGGGACCCATTACACCAATATTGGGTTGACAAGTAAGATGGTAAGCAAAATATGGCATAGAAACGTGGAAAGTGTAGCATTATTGAACAAGTTAATAGCCTTCATTTCCTATACAAAGCACAAGAAGCATAGGAGTATAAAAGCAAGCAAAAATGGAGCAGACATTTGGTTTCAATTTTTTATTTTTTTTCAAAACAAGATGAGAGTACCAAATTCACTCAAGATCACGATCGTTCAAGTACCTGTGATTGTCCAAATCCTTGAAACTTGATGTATCTTCAAGATTGAAGCGAGGATAGAATTTTCTTGCATCTTCTGGATCTCTAATGAGAACTATATTCTGTCCAAACAAATAATCATATCAAAACCTGAGGCTGGGACTGTGAATAGGCTTGCATTACACTTGCATTAGACAATACGATTACTCATATAAGAATTAGAATGAAGTTAAAGAGCATGGGTGACTTTACACATCTATGTTTTACACTCTACTTGCCTGTAGAAGATCAAAAAGATTGCGCCTTATTTTGTCTTCACTATCCAACAGTAAAGAGCTCTCTGCACAGGACTTCAGCTTGGAAGCAATTTTTTTTTCCGTGTTGCAGTCCTCCTTGAACTATAACAATTGAAACAAAGAAATAATTTAAGGCGAGGATTGATGAGAAAATGTTTGATAGGAGAGTAAAACTCTAACAAAAACAATAGCATAAGTTCCAGACTTTGGGAAAGAAAAGACAACTCTCTTTTACAAAGAAAATCAATAGCCAAACAGACACATCCAAAAGAAAATCAGATTGTGCGCCTAAACTGTATATTATTTTATGAACAAGTTTATTAGTACAGAGACATGTTTCTTATCATCTGGAAACTTCTTATGTTGGTTTTATCTGTCATATATGTGCAAGGTAGTGTAACAAGACTACAGACAAGCAGTAAACAAGGGAGAGACAAGAAGGGAGAAAAAGAATGGTAAAGACTAGAGTCACTTCAAAGCAACAAAATTGGTAACTTGGGGCCATGCAGATGCCTGAAAGATGGATAAATATTTATCGCTTAATAACATCCTCTCATCCAAATATATCTAGAAGAAAAGCCAAGAACAAAAAATGCACCTTCTCAAAGAAGGTTGTTTATCTAATAATGAAAACCGTACAATAAAGTAAATGGGGGAATTTCAAAAAAGTGGAGGGTAGAAAAAATAATTTCCAGATGATGACAGTACAAGTTTTTATTGCATAAATTTATGCACGAACCACTTGTACTTTCATTATTTTGAAATTATTTTGTCTGCTCACCACTTTTTTGAAATTCTCCCAAAGCAAATTCCTTGCTCTTTCCATTGGGAACTAAATTATTTCATTAGAAGAAGCCGAAAAGGGACAGCAGCCCATGTATACACAAAATATGCAAAATAAGATCAGTAGGCCTATAAAACAAAATAAGAATCAAAATTTCCTTTATCCAAAAAATTCTAAAGCCAGGGTCATAATCTAGCACCCAGCTAAACCAAAATCCCGGAAACCAGAGCTTCAAATTTTGGAGTCCTAATTGGTCTAGAATATTTTTAGTTACCAAATACTCTTAAGTCTCTAAAATGAAATCCTACCTAGTCATTATAGAAGTATGAAAAGTCTCTAGGAGCTTATATATTTTCAATATGGATTTGGGTTACGAGAATTTGAGATTGTGTTTGTTTGAATTTGCCTAGAGCACCTCTTTCCTTCTCCTTCTATTCTCGGGTTATTGTTCATAACCCTCAAAAAGTGCACTCTTCAGCCCTAAACCCTAGCCGAACAAGCTCAAATCATCCCCAATCCTTAGACCTTTCATTTAACACCAAAACACAAAATTTGGTTGTTTCTAGACCCTTAAACCTTTTTCCGAAAATCCTGCTAGCCGAAAGTTCAGAATTCAACCTTGTTTTTCTTTTCCTTCATAAATCTTGCACTCTTTCTCCTGTCACGTTAGAACCATTTATAGGGCTGTCATATTTTGAGTATTCAAAGTTGTCCTACATGACCATATGTAGGTACTTCTAGTGAAGAGAGCAAAATTGTAAAGGCCAAGGCAATTCCATCATGGTAGTCTTGTCCTGGTGGCAAAGCTGGGAATAATTTTAGAATCTCGATGTGGAATCAGTCCTATTTGATCTGTGGCAATGAAAAAGGACACAAAAAGAAAATATGTGACCATCTACATGTACAAATACATATCTCATACCAGTCCACGCTGCACAATGATAGAATCCCATATGAATGCATATTATTCATATGCTACATTTATTCATCAACTATACAAGGATCTATTATTCAGTTTGGCCAGAGTGCTGGCCAATCAATTGAACTAGAACTGAGCTTCTTCTAGGATGATATATCCATTATACTAGATATGTCTACTTAAGAAAAGCACTCAACCCCGATAATGTATAAATATTAGTAATGTATTGGTGTATCCATTAAACTATACTTTTGAAACCAAATCAATGATTAGCCTCTAATTACACCTGACATTGCAGCTCAGTCTAGCAAGTGCTTCTACTATTTGAGCATTTTAGCCAGAATCATATCTGTGGAACAACATTAACAACTTTTCTGACCCCTAAGACTAGCTATAAAAAAACAATCGTACATGAAGTTCCATCATTTATTTGAATAAATGCCTACCCAAATGATCCTACAGCGCATTCAGAAGTACACTATAAACCCAACAAGAGCAGAAAAATATTGAGTCAATAGAAATGGAGAGAATAGGGGAACATAAGGATGAGAGTTTTTCAATAAATATGATTATCACCTCATAATGCTGCTTCTGATATTCATTCAAGAAATTAGAAGCTATGACAGTCCAAGATGCACCAAATTTATCCTGAAACACAAGGGAAAATTGCATGTAACTAATTAGTTGCACCAGTAATACTTCACTAGGATGGAAACAAAATCATATTCAGAACAATGTGAGTCTAGTTCATAAGGAAAATAAAATAACCTGTAAAAATTCATGCCGAATATATGGACGGCTCAAGCGGTCGAAATCCCATATTCCCTCTCTTTCAAGTTCTTCCTACAATGAGAACATTGTTCTCTCACAGATAAATATGACATGATTTTCTTAGGCTATGATTGGATCTTGATTTGTCAAGGAAAATGAAAATAAATGGGAAATAGAATTACTTATACATACTCTCTTTTTTACAGTACTAACCTAAAAGTTGATTTTTTGACGAACAAAAAAGAAAAAATTATCTAGCTTCTAATCCATTACATTTCCCTATTTTTTCCCTTTCCTGTTCATTTTCCTCCACAAATCCAAGATCCAAAGGAAAAAAAAAATTAGTTGAACTAGGAATGTACCTGACTTAAAGGAATAGACGGCCGAAATTTCCCAACTAGACCTGTCATTGCATGCTCCGGGAGCTCCCAGATCCTAAAGAAACCCAATATGTGATCAATCCTGTAAGCTGTAAAGTACTTTGCCATCTGTGTAAGACACCAAAAACAAAAAAAAATATTTAACAAGAAACTGTTGAGTTATAAAGACAAAATGGCTAAAACATGAACACATAAAAAATAAAAAATTAAAGACAAAATGGCTAAAACATGAACACATAAAAAATAAAAAATTAACTTATAAAAAATAAATAAAAATAAATAAAAGAAAAGAAGAAGAAGAAGAAGAAGAGAGAGAGAGAGAGAGAGAGAGAGATCTATAATACTGAGCAAGAAACCTGTGTTAAACGAGCACGCCACCAAGCATAATTGTCTTTTGACATTTCCTCCCAATTATAAGTGGGGAATCCCCAATTTTGCCCATTTTTATCAAAATAATCAGGAGGTGCACCTGTAGATGTGTTCATCCGAAATAAATTCGGATTGACCCAAGTATCCACACTATTTCTGTCGACACCGATAGGGAGATCTCCTTTCAGCACCACTTCTTTCTTTCTTGCATATTCAGCAGATTCTGCCAACTGCCATTTAAACATTACAAAAACAGGAGATATTTTGCCAACTTGGGTGGCTTATAATTCATAAAATGCAGGAAAGTTAAGAATGATTTGACTTACTTGTAAATGTAATTGGAACTGGATATAATAATGAAAGGAAATTATGTCATAGTGGACACGGTCTTTCGAAACAAGTTTCTCAAGCTGAAGAAACAAGAAAAGAAATGTTTGAGGTTAAATTTAAAGCAGTACTAAGTTCCCAAATCAAGTTTACTCTATCAAAATACATCAACTGTGTATTTAACAGTCGTTTCATTAGAATACAAACCAATAGCAACAAATTTTTTTTTTTTGACAAGTAAAAATAAATCCAAAAACTCACTAAGGGGGGAAACCCTGTACACTCAAACAAACCAAAACCTGGAAGTTGAACATCCACACGCATGTATAATAACAATAATCTATATTTTCCGAGGGCAAATCAAAAGTAAAGCACCTTGTCTCTTGAATAAGAAGAAAAGCGACCCCACTGGCTGTGATCTGATGTTTCAAAAAAATCCCGAAGAAAACAAAAGGCTGCATAAGGTTTCAGCCAATCCTGTCCAACACCCCCAAGGAGGGAGAGAGAGAGAGAGACGTTAAAAAATGTTGTTGACTTTTAAAAGAGATTTGAAAAAAGTCCACAACAATTTCAATGAACCACCCAATGAGCAAGGGGGAAAAATGAAATATTTTATATGGATAACCTCATTCTCAGAAAAAAAAATCTGGAAGGAACTTGAGTTTAGTATAGAATCCTTCTCTAGAACAAAAATTTTCTTGGCAATTGAAAGTTTTGTGGCCAAGGTAGCCTCATAATCAACAGCCTGCACAGATCAAAACATGAATAAATAAATGCAGGGAGAAGTTAAAAAAAAATTAAAAAACATGAATTCATAAACTTCTATTACTGTGAAAACAATTCCAAACATTATAACCTCATACTATAGAAATAAAACAATTAAATTTGGTCTAATTGATAGCTGCCCATCATAAATCATCACAGACAAGGATTGTTATGAACTTTTACATAGATCCATTCGGCAAAGTTTAATTTTTCCAATAAGTATTATCTCTGATTTTATTACTTCGATTAGAACATAAAGACTTTTCTTATTAATCAACCTGTTAGGATGAACAAGATAGAAGCTTTATTTCCAATACTAGTATGAAAGTAAACCGGTTAAGTAACCATAAACTGTCCACTCATAAGGACCATTTATATGGTTGCTCAGGTTCATAATAGCTGTTACAAATTGTCCATAGGCATACCAGAGTGCTCAGTAGTTAAGTTTCAAAAAGAATTTAGCGCATACGGTTTTAAGATGAGAAAGTCTACTGTATTAATCATTAAAGGTCTGACTGACATTCAATCATGCCATCAAACTAAACCAGAGGTCCAAAGTAACCAGAAGAATGTTCACATCCAATATTTTAGTTATTAGTACTGTTCACATCCAATATTTTAGTTATTAGTACATTAACAGTCATGAAATCTCAAAAGGCATGTTTACAATGTTAAAGGTTTCATCTAAGAGCAGTGTTGTAGAATGGCTTTAGGAAACTAATGATAAAGCCACCTAGAATTGGGCGTGTGATGGGTTTAGGGAAGGAATAGTTTCTATGTTTGAGGTTTTATAGGGTAGAAGATAAGTTCTGGGTTTGTAGAAGGAAAATAGCACAAATTGATTTCATTTAGAAAAGTGGCAACTTGCTAGATTTTCATATTTGACGGTATTTGAGAAACCAAACAGGTAATTTAGGGTTTTAATGATTAAATTAATAGGTAGGAGAAGGAGTTTGGAGTTAATTTAAACTTGATTGGCTAGAATTTTAAGGTTGAAAAGTGCACTTTTTTTAAGACTGTGAACAGTAACTGAAGCATAGCACTCCAGATGCTCGCGCATCCTTATACATGGGGGGGGAAGCTTGTCCTCACAAGGGCTAAGAAAAATCATGCAAACACAATACCAAATATTCTAAAACTCAATTCCACTGAACAAAATAATTACAAAAATATTTATATGTTGCAATACTTTTCGTATTTCTACAAGGACTGACTCATAAATAGGAAACTAGTAAACTTTTACAAATTAGAATATTCGAGGCCTACTAAACCACATAAAAAGAGTGGTTACAACTAAGGGTGACCCAGTGTACAAGGATCCCACTAAAGCAGGGCCTGGGGACAGCAAGATTTATGCAGCTTTATCCGCCCATTTTTTGGGAGGCTATTTCTATAATTTGAACCTGCAGCCTTGCCACTAGGAACATTGACAGCAGCTAGTGGACCAAAATCGCAATCCATGTCCATCAATTCAAAATATTACCGACATACTATTATTTTTAGAGAATACCAAGTGTTAGAATTTACCATAACCCACTCCACCTACCACCTCCACTACCACACACACTCACCTACTTCACCTACTTTCCTACACCTACCACACACACTCACCTACTCCCAAATCCTCTCATATATAATAGGAAGCCTTGTAATATCAACTGCACAACAATCAGATATCAATACATCAATCAATAATACATCAATTTTAACATGGTATCAGAGCTATAAGATTTAAGCCTATACTCCTTTTTCCGGCGGGCAGCCGGCCGGCAACCTTGCCTTCGCTGCCCGCTGGAGTTTTTTTTTTTCAACACCTCCACAGAGTATGGCTCACTCCCAAGCTTACTTCCATCCAACACAGTCTCCCCAATATACCCAGCTCTCCCTCTCGGCCGAAGCTCCCTCAGCAACACCACTGCACTATCTCTCTCTCCGGATGCAAACCACTCTCTCCCTCGGTGTCTGATAATACATATATGCTGTGTGTGTATGGCTCTCCATTCCAGCCTCCTCAAGGATTCATTGAAGCCGTCATGATGATCGAAACCTACAACGCAACCAAACCCACTTCGATTACCAATATATATCTCTCTCTCTCTCTCTAACACCACCTAGCTAGTTAGAGAGCTGCGTCCTAGCGACCCCCACTTCAAACCCACCATTCTCTCTCTATATATATATATTGCCGGAGATGGATGGGTACGGACTGTCGGCGTCGGAGTGTTTTCCCATCGACGACCTCCTAGACTTCTCCAACTAGATGCGAGATCCTCCTCGCTCTATTTCTTCCTCCCGTCGGTGTTTGCCTCAGGCATGGCTGCTGCCGCGTTGAGTTCCTCCTATGCTTGGTGTTGACTATCCACTTGCCTAATGTTCGCATCTCTCTCTCTCTCTAGGGGCCAACGGGTGAGAGGGAGGAGAGCTTTTCCTTCAGCTAAAGCAACCTGTGTGCATGAGAAGGAAGGGGCAGCAGCACACACACGGCACACACCACACAACCAGCACATGGGGGGCACCGACTCCATCTCTCTCTCTCATATTTTATTACTCTCTCTCTTTCTTTTGCTCCACTTTTTCAGCGTTGTTCTAATTTTTTTTGTTTTTTATTCCTTTTTCGTTCTCTCCGTGCTTAGCCCACACCAGCACTCACTTCCCTCTTTTATTTATTTATTTTACCCACTTTTTCACGGACAGTGAGCAGCCCTTTTCAAATAATTTTCCATTTCTTTATTTTTTTTATTTATTTATTTTATTTTTTCTTTTTCATTACCCTCCTGTTCCCCACTCCACTTTCCTCTTTTCGTTACTTTTTATTTTTCTATCCTCTTTGTTTGTTGTTTTTTTAATGGTAAAAAAAAAAAAAAAAAAAAAAAAAAAAAAAGTTACACAAAACACCATTCACAAAATCCCACCAACAACATTCCATCACCTTGTCATTTTATTCATTTCGGGGGCTCAACCCCGATCACAAATTTTACACCACTAAACAAAAAAACAAAAAAACAAAAAAAACAAAAAAACAAACAACAGCAACCAATCAACCACATCCACAGGCAGTTTTTTCTTCTCTACTCTGCCGCCGGTCTTTTCTTCTTGCCTCCGTCCTGGGCGGCCCTTGCCGGTGTTGCCTCCGTATTTCTCACTCCACTGGGCATGATCACTACTCCCTGCTCCTCCACTGCAGCATATGGCGGACCTCCAAATCGGAACATCACGGTGGCCTTCCGCTTCAGCTCCTTGTTTTCTGCCCTTAGCACGCTTATCTCTGCTCGCGCATCCTTATACATGCGTTGAAGCAGAGCCAGCTGGAAGTTTAACTGCTGCACCTCATTTGCCCTACTCTGCAGCCGGTGCGACAAGTTTGTGACCGCCGTCATGCTTTCCACACATGCCTTTAAAGTATATTGATTGGCCTCCACATCTGACTGCACTGCCATTCACTGATTGGCCTCCACATCCGACTGCACTGCCATTCTTTGTTCCACCGACTGCATCGGAAAGTTCAACGGGGTAAACTCCGGGGCGCTTGGTTGAGTTTCCAGTGCCACCGCACCAGTTTCTCTTGTGGACTCGTTCAGTTCTGGAAAGAGCGTGAGCAGACCACGGGAAGAGGAGGCCATGTTCTGGGTAGCTGGACGGGAAGAAGAGGCCATGTTGCTGAGTGTTTCAGAGACGGGTTGGTTACAGAGTATTACAAAGTTTCTCAACAAAGGAAGAGTTTGTTTCAGAGGATTTTCAGAAGTTTTTTGTCAGCCTCAGCCTCAGCCTCCGTCTTGGTTAAATAGCCGAGGCAGCCACGCGCATCGCGCGCCTCGTGCCACCAGACGACAAAACGGGCGCGCAAGCCAAGGCGCCCACGTGCCTCGCCATCATGTCCGGCACACCTTTTTATGGATTGGGCACGCCTTGTGATGGCACGCCTTTTGATAGATTGGGCACACCTTTTGAGGGTGCGACTTTTTATGGGTCCGACAAGACTCTGTAAACTGTCCCGACATTGATTCCAGTTAGCTCCTTCATGGGTCCAGCAAGACTCTGTAAATTGTCACAACAACTGTCATAACATTGTCTTCTACAACGGTCCGACATTGTCACAACATTGTCTACTACAACGGTCCGACATGACCCCATAAACTGTCTTTTACATCGGTCTTACACCGCCATCGAGTGTCCTCTACAACGTTATGACACCCCCATACAGTGTCCTCTACAACGTTATGACACCACCATACAGTGTCTTCACCAATGGTCTGACACGACCATCCAATGTCTCCTATCCTTTTTTATTTTTTATGTATTTTCTTGTTTTGTTCCTCTCTTCAAACTCAAGTTGGTTAGTTTCTATCCTCCTTGAGTTTGCGGGGGGCTGTTAGAATTTACCATAACCCACTCCACCTACCACCTCCACTACCACACACACTCACCTACTTCACCTACTTTCCTACACCTACCACACACACTCACCTACTCCCAAATCCTCTCATATATAATAGGAAGCCTTGTAATATCAACTGCACAACAATCAGATATCAATACATCAATCAATAATACATCAATTTTAACACCAAGATTAGGGAATGATTAGGCTATCATCCCCTATTTATATTAATGAAGTTAATAATTACACGTGAGCCCTAAGGCATACAATAATGACAAAATAATAACCCAAAAACATAATATATTATTCTAACACTCCCCCTCAAGTTGGTGCGAAGATATCTCTCATGCCCAACTAGCCTAAGATGTCATGAAATAGCTTACCCCCAACTCCCTTGGTGAAGATGTCAGCAAGTTGTTCACCAGACTGCACAAAGGGAGTGCATATTGTGTCACTAGTGAGTTTCTCCTTAATGAAGTGGCGATCAATCTCAACATGTTTTGTCTTGTCATGTAGAACCGGTTTGTGAGCGATGTTGATAGCGGCCTTATTATCACAGTATAACCGCATGGAGTCCGACTGATCAATACCCAGATCACTCA